CTGAGTTTGGGATTCCCAAATTTGTTTGTACCATCCTTTCGCCCTGGGAGGTTAGCTTGATTCCAACAAACCAAACATAGTTGAAATGACCTCATTTTTTTTTACCTCTGGTGAACATGAACATAGCTATAGAAAATCATCGTCTTGAAATATTTTGAATAGGTAAATCAACTTAAAAATGGGGCAGTTTTGACAGCAATGTTAGTCTACTGGCGGGTACGCTTTTCACACATTTTTTTGCCTTGTTTGGTACAGTAGGAGCTTTTGGTCGTCCTTTTGCAGGTTTTCTGAAAGCTTCGGAAACTGCAATCTGAAAAGGAAGAACCAATCACCAAGTGCCTTTCCAAACGCCTGGAGCCTGGCTACAGTACCAACTACAGCTGCAGTAGGTGTAGGAGCTGTGGTATGCTGTGGCCAATTTGATAATTTGATTCTGGCAAATTCTGGCAATTTTCTTGCTATGCCATGCAATAGACTCAATAGACCGTCACTACAACATTACACAATGCAATACCGCAATGGCAACGCAATGGCGATGCAATGCAATAGTCTGTGACCATCTGCAACCACCTGCAACCCAACGGCACAATTTGCGACGAGATTGAGAGGCCCGCCTGCGCCTCCCGGATGAACTTGGCTCAGGATCGAGCTAGAATTCTCTGGACCTGAACAAATCAACGGACCAGCCATGGAATACTTTATATCGTATTAACAGTAATATGGATCAACGTCTCATACCGGAACGTCTCTAGAATCTCTGAGTACCTCTCAAATGTAGGACTTTGAACAAAAAATAATCAGAATACATGAGCTTAGGCCGTGAACCTCATCTTGACAAGCAAAGCACAAGCAAAGCTTCTATTTTCCTGGAACAAACAAGGACACAAAATAACACGAAGCAGGTTTCCGCACTCACAGGTTTGGGCAATGTTGATCAGATCCACCCAAAGGTGCATACATGCCACCTGGCAGCAAACAGCATCTAAAATTAATTCAGCCGACTGAGTTTGTTCTTTTGCCACATAAATAATAAAGGAAATCGGTTTGCACATTACGGTTTGCCAAAATGTCTTTTCCTGGTTTGGTTGATAAATCGTAATTCCTTGCGTGCCGCTTCTTATTGTGCCTTTAAAACCATGACTGACCTAAATAGTCTGAAACCCTGCATTTTCTCTTTCATGTTTGAAGCCGTCGCTAAAACCTGCAGTAAATGCTAACGCGCGTCTATATGAAGTGGGTGCCTGCTTTTGTCAAACAGACAGGATAAACTACAAGTTCTCTAGTGGCGACTGGGTCACGGGTCAACCAAAGCCGTTTTCTGAAACTTTTGCTAGCGCATTGCTAGCGGGGACCTAGCGGGCAAAATTACGCACAAATTCGCAAAGTTGAGCCGCAACCTCAAAAATATAGGAAAATTGTTGAGCAGCACGGAAATTCACTAAGACATCCTTAGGATCAAGGAGCTAAGTGTCACATTTTGACTGTTCTTCATGTTGATATAACAAACAAACAGGAACACAACAAAAATCCTTAAACATAGGTGTGAAAATAACTAACGCAAACATACGCAAACCTAGCGGGTTTGCTAGCGCTGCCTTGCAGAATTGGTGAATTTAGTTTCGTGCCGCCTGATAACGGAGAGGAAAACCACTAGGTCCGCACTAATTATCTTTTATCAACAACTAGTACAAAACTTCTGTCAGTTTTTCTTGGCAAATGGTCACATACTTCCAAAAACATCCAAATACAATGTCAGCTCGTGCCAAGAAATCACTCAACATAAACAATATGGCAGAACATCCGTAACGTCACTATGCACCATCCACCTCCTTATACTCATGATCGTCATTGTCGCCATCATCAACATCAGCTTCGACTCCAGCATCAGTACCATGATCATTGCAATGATCATCATAATTGTCATCGTGGTCATCTTTATTGTCATCATCATCGGTGTCATCATTACTATCATCCGCAATATTGCCATGTCAATCATACAGGCATAAATTGTTATCAGAACAATCTTCAACATCAACCGCAAAATCATCACATCTCAGCAGGGGTTGTCACTGTGGAGCTCATGGTCAAGCAGCTAGCTACAAAAAATCCATTTCGCTAGGAAGTTCTAAGAGACTTCGGTGGTGGATCAGGTTAAACCTTCCGATGAAATGCTTCCTCCTTGAAGTGCGCCCCATGTGCAAATCAAATACTCCTGCTGTAGATGTGGAATTTGGAGCCGGCAGTGGAAGCGAAAAGAAAATTCTAGCGTTTCTTTACCTACAAATGTGCCTGGAAATCTTCCAACTAGTGGCAGTCAGCTGGAATCAATTCTCACTTGCATGGATATAAAGGAGTACGAGCGCAGCACATCGCTGAACCTTTGTATACGAGTTGTCGGAACTATGAGTATATCAATCTATATGTATGTCTGTCTTTCTTTGTTCCCTTATCTATCTCTCTATCTCTCTACCTATCTCTCTGCCTCTCTGTCTATCTCTCTATCCGTCCATCTATCTAAAACTATTTATATCTATCTATATCTATCTATATCTATCTCTATCTATATCTCTAAATCTATCTCTATCTATCTCCATCTATCGCTATCTATCTCTATCTATCTCTATCTATCTCTATCTATCTCTATCTATCTATCTCTATCTATCTATCTCTATCTATCTCTATCTATCTCTATCTATATCTCTAAATCTATCTCTATCTATCTCCATCTATCTCTATCTATCTCTATCTATCTCTATCTATCTCTATCTATCTCTATCTATCTCTATCTCTATCTATCTCTATCTATCTATCTATCTATCTCTATCTGTCTAAATCTATCTATATCTATCTATATCTATCTCTATCTCTATCTCTAAATCTATCTCTATCTATCTCCATCTATCTAGATCTATCTAGATCTATCTATATCTTTCTAGATCTATCTATATCTATCGATATCTATCTAGATCTATCTCTATCTCTATCTCTAAATCTATCTCGATCTATCTCCATCTATCTCGATCTATCTCCATCTATCTCTATCTATCTCTATCTATATCTATCTAGATCTATCTAGATCTATCTAGATCTATCTAGATCTATCTATCTATCTATCTCTATCTATCTATCTACCTATCTATCTACCTATCTATCTACCTATCTATCTATCTATCTATCTTATCTTATCTTATCTTATCTATCTATCTATCTATCTAGTATATCAATCAATCTATCAATCAATCAATCAATCAATCTATCTATCGGTTAAATCTATCTATCCAGCTAGCGATCTACAAAGACTGACCTTGCCTTGCAATGCATACCAGTTTTCGAAGTTGTGGAGATGCATCAGCAGGATGCATCTTCTTTGTGCCAAAGTCCACATTGCCAGAGTAATAAACCAAATTCCATCTCCTCATTCTGGCCTCTTCCCAAACATCTGCTTCCCCAGCTCGAAATGCGGCAATATTGCAGTTGGTTGCATGATGAAGACACCTCACACGGTCAAGATTTCCGGTTTCAAGAACCAAAACAAAGGCGATACAATGCTAGAATGAAAAAAGCAATGCCAGGACTTTCACATCTTACACTTCCGGCCGCTCGCCAAGTGTATGTAGATTTTTTTGAAAGAAACATCTGGAATTGTCCGGAATGACAAACGGCAATGGGCCCGGGTTCTGTCAAACCCCAAACCCGGGTCACCACAACCACATTCTGCACACCATTTGCTGTTTCTTGTCTAGCCATGTCAATGATTCCGCAACAGCTTGAGGAATCCCTATGCATGCCATAACTGCCATAGCCAATATTTACAATGATGATACTCACCACTGCAGCAAGGCTGCTGCCTATCAAGGCTTTTCAATCTAATAGCCAAATAGGAACCAAGCTGTTGTCCATATTGGAGCTAGATGGAGCTAGTATATAGTATGTACTGATAGCATGGTGGCATCGTGGTAGCTATAGAAAGACTATTCTGGCATCCTTCGATCGGTTTTGCATCCCTCAAAGTTAGCGCAGTCTGTGAAATCCAATGCTTGCATAGCCTTGCCATTGAAATCTATTAAAAACAATCTATTAAAACATCTGAAACCAAGTCAGTCTTGAAACCGGAGCCAACTTTGATCTTAGAGCATTCAACAATATCGTCTCCTATACTCAGCCCTTGCTAACGCTATCGCCTGAAAAAGGGAAGTCCTGTATGCACATTCTCATTCACAGCGATCATGTCTGACACCTCAGTCATGAGATGTCATGAGAGTATTGTAAGACTTCATAGAGTTCAATGAAACTCAAGCAAAAACGCATCAATTTGTACCGGGATCAGGGATGCGGAGAGGATTGTGAAACATCAGCTCACCTAGCACTACGATGAAAACAACGCTCTCACAATGCAGCAGGCCATGACAGGCTGTGGGGATATCCGAAAAAGGGAATTGTCGGAACTATGCACCCTAGCTGGATGATAGCTATTCTTTCGATCTATGGTAATCCATTGTAGCCTATCACAAACTGCAGAAAACACTGATAATGGAGTCGCGGACCGGGAGTTCTCATGAAACTGAAGCGACAACGAGTCTAAGGGAAGGTCGTCATAGCATTCAAAGCCTTTGGATGAGGACGGCCAAGAAGCCTACACAAAAAGGTGGGTCATCGGGGTGGGAAGGAGACACTTACCACAATTCCGCTTAAGTGCATCGCAAAACCAGAAAAAGGCGCAGGCACTTCCTACTGTACTGTTGCTGACTTCGCTGCCTCCTACCTACAAGCTCTGAAATTAAAAGGCAAAGTGGCCTTGCTATATGCCCAGGCAAGGAAGAATGATGGAGAAAAACATGTAGAGTTCTTACCGTCACAGCTATTCAGCTCGATTGTCCCAACTCATTTGTTCAAATCACCAAGATACTGAATTTTGGCTTTTAAAAAACAAGGTTAAACTTAAGAAATATGTATACACACACAAATATTATATATATATGTATTGCGGAATCGATAGCCACTTAGCCAATGAAATGTGCAAGTGCATGCAAGTCACAAATGCTTGTTTTGACACTGCGATGAACGCTGTGCTTGAGCCAACCATCGTGGTCGGCAAAGAAGTTGATGCTGCCAGACCTGACATGCCAATGGATGGATTTAGTCTTCAGCGGTCCACTGAATCCTCATTTCCACACTGGTTATCTTTGTCTGGAGTTAAATCTATCCACTGACCTGCCATGACTTGCGAAAGCGTCTTTGGCTTCATGCTCTCTGTAAGACTGTCCGCTGACATCTTCTCGGTGTTCACCCACGACAATTTCGTGGTGGCTTCGGCTGGAAGGTGGTCCGTCAGCAGCGGATGTCCAGTCTCTGCTCCTTGACGCCTCCATATTTTTTGCCTCACTCCGCTCAGATCGATCGCCAGCCTTTTGTCTCCCACTGTGTGAAGCCCTGACTGGTTCACACTTTCTTCCAGACTTCTGCAATCCTTGAACAGCTCGATGTTCTTGCCGTCCATTGCATTGATCTGCCATTGTTGACCGCCTCGGAGACGTGGATGGCATAGTCCATGAAGCATCATACGCACGTGCTCGGCCTCCTCCATGCCAGAAATCAAAGACATGGCCTCCGCTTGACGGGTCGAACGGCACACGCGCTTGATTGTCCAAGAGCAAAAGTTGCCCCTGTTTCGCCTCCTTGAACTTGGGCGGCCCCAGGCCGAGCAATCTGCCGCTCTGACTGCGAAACTCCAGCTTCTTGCCCTCTGAGTTCACGTCGTGGTCATTTGCAAAACTTGAATCCTGCATGCCGACGATCACCGCGTCCTCAAAGCGAAAAGCACGAAGAGGACAATGAATGCCAGCGGACTTGGTCTTGTGGGCAATGGAAGTGACCGTGTTGGCATAGCGGATGTCCTCATAGGTGGCCGTGTGCACATTGGATTGGAGCTTGCTCGCTGCGTAGGCCAAATCCGGTCTGCAGACACGAGCTAGCCATGCAAGAGATCCAATAATGCTCCTCAATTGCTGCCTCTGCGCTTCTGTGATCTTCTCTTGCTTCTTCTTGCGAACCGGCAGGTAGATAGGTCGCACACGGTCGATCAGGCTCGGACAGGTAATGTGAATGCCGTCCTTGTCCTTGACAACATCGCGACCGCAATACTTGAAGACATTCTTTTCCACATTTTTCCACCTTGCTAAACTTATAGACATCGCATACCTCCTGCATCCTCTTCTCCGCCTCAGCTCCTCCGGTCCATAGCAAAGCATCAACATGAACTATAGCCAAGCCCTCAAGCTCTCCCTTGTCATTCACCAGGCTGTAGGCTGCTGCTTCATGCGGTACTGCCTTGAAGCCCTTCTGAATCATCGTTTGAGCCTCTTGGTGCATCCTTTGTTCCATAGACCGTAGACGTCACCACATAGTAATCTCCTGGTGGATCACCTCCGGGAGTCCCTTGGGCATCTTGAGGACCAGGATTCTGTCCATGGTGGGGCCTTGACAAAATGGCGGTGATATGTCTCCAGCCCAAACATCTGTGTCGCGGCAGTTGGCCAGGCACATAGTCGTGGCAGTCATCACTTGACTGACCGTTGGAGAGTCAGTCCTCATCTTGGATGAATCTTCCAAGTCACCTCGCACCACGATCCTCGACTTCATCACCGCCGGCTCCCCAATCTCGGCCTTGTTGGTCTCAACCCAGCGCGTAGGAACGGCGTTCAGCTTTGGATCCTTCTTCTGCATCTTCTTGAACTCAGCCTCTGTGATCCATTTGCCGTGGGTATACTTCTGCCAATTGGCCCATTCCTTCTCTCGCGCTGCGCGCATCTTCTCCTGAATCTCTGGCGGCTCCTTGTCATACACAACCTCTCTGCCTGCTCCTGCCATCGGGTTCTTCTTCTGATACCTTCTCGTTCTTGTCGCCACGTGCTTGGCCTGTCTGCTGGCCAAGAATGCAATCATTTGCTTCTCCTTGCCTAAGGCTTTGATCTCATCCTCTGAGTGGCATGCTCGTGAGTCTCCATCCAGTCTCGCTCGCATCGCATTGGTCAATGGCGTAGGCTGCGATGCTTGTTGAAGTCCTGGTGGTTGTGGCGGTCCCAAGGCCACGGGTGCTGCTGCTGGATGGGAAGAAATCTCTTCAGACCGATCAGGTGCGGTTGGCCGCCCACGTCGCTGAGAATTGATGGCGATGGCACGATGGACTCGGCAATCTCCGCTGGCCTGTGGATCTCGAAGTCGTCCATCTCAGGTTCCGGTACAGGAACTTCACGTGGCACCACCAGCTCGGCTGGTTGTAGAAGTTGTCCCGGGTTAGCAGCCACTCCAGCGTCAACTCCCTCAGTTGTTCCTTCTGGAACTGGAAAATCAGTGACCAAGACGCCCACAAGTGCTTGTCCTTCAAAACGTGGTCGTGGATGTCGAGCCGCGTCTCTGTCCACTGCAAAGGGCACATAGTCGTCCAAATAGACTTCCTCCCCATCCTCAGCCACCATTTCTCGTCCTTGTTTCCAACGGGGTCGTAGCTCCAGGATGTTCTTCTAGTGGATCTCCTCTGCAGATGCTGGACGGCATGAGTCTCAGGCACCAGTAATGTGACGCCTCCATGCAATAGCCAGATGGATGACGTCCCTTGATTTCCGAGCATTTGTGCTGGTCCATACCACTTGCTTTTGCGGTGGAAGCTGAGCAGATTGCCAACTCTGTAGGGACCTCGCATGGGGACACTCTTACTCAGCAATGCCTTGCGCACCTTGTTGCAAGAATCAACATGAACAAAGGCCTCCTCTGCAGCTTGTCTCATCAGCAGCTGCAACATGAACGTCTCCTGCACGGGTGGCTCCTCCTCCAAGTCCACAATCTTTTGGTGTTTTATGTTGGCATCAAAAGATTGTCCAGTGAGACTTGTGGCATCCTCTGGTGTTTGTCCAGGTACCCGTTGCGCTGGGGAGTTGCCTGAACTGTTCAGCATGACATTCTTGGTGCGGGCTGACTCCTTGCGCAAAGTGCGGAGATCATCTCAGCTCCACAGAAATGCTTGCTATGGATCGCTCGGCCCATCATCTCCTTCAAGATGCCGCCTTGACGCTCACCTGCGCCCAACTGGTACGCCGCTTGTACTCCTGTCCTCCTCACTTCAACACCGTGTCCTTGAAGTAGGCTGTTCAGCTTCCCTTTGTTGTGAACTCCTTGCTCGCTCACCAGCACTGTCGGTGCACCAAATTGGCATGATCCAGGAACGGTTCAAAGCTTCGGCGATGGGATGACGGAGTTCCACCTCCACCTACCCGAGCTGCAATGTGGTATCGGGTAGCCAGGTCAGCTATGCTGAGAATCGCATGACTGCCTCCTCTGCAGTCATGCACCTCAAACACATCAGTGGACACCTCGTGGTTGAACCTGAGCTGGTGATCGGGACGTAGCGGTCTCGTCTCCCGAGGTTGTTCAACCTTCTTGACCTCATCGCATCTGGGACACCTGAAATGCTGCGCCGCTGCGATCACCTTCTTGTCGGCCATGGATGCTCCAAGAAGCCGTACGAGAGCTTGATTGGAACAGGGAGCCATCATAGAGTGCAAACGTCGTAGGGCCACTCGCTGGTCTTTGGTGATCTGCAACCATTCTTGTCTTCGATCAAGATTATCAAGCTCCTTCCCAGCTCATCCTGCTTGTCCACCACAAACTCCTCATAGTCTTCCTCTCGATCCAGCCCCTGCAGGTCGATCTTTCTCTTCCATGGCATCTCACTCACATCATCCATGCCATGGATTGTGTCCAGTGGTCCTTGCTCTTCTCGCTCCTCTTATTCATACCCCATCGAGAAGCCCAACTTCAAAACTTGCCTGCGCAACTCCTCCTGGGCTCCATACATGATTGCAAAGCAAAAATCATCTGGCAAATGCTGTGCCTTCTTCGTCCTCTGCCCTCCTTCCAGCGGCTCATGGTTGTGGCTCTCGTCGCATCGGGTCGTCAGGTAGTGCGTGATCTCACTTCATGACAGCAACATTCCAGTGGCCTTCTGATGTGGAAGTCTAGAATATCCTTCAAGTCCATACATGCATTGATCCAGTCGCCATAGCTCAACAGGTTCTCCTGTGACTGGATGTATGATGGGCTCCGTGTAGAGGTCTTCCATGAAACGTAGTTTCCGCAGCAATGACGACCACGGATTCTCCAGCACGATCTCTCTGCCTTTCTCAATCCGCTTGCGCACCACTCCTGCCAGCCACTTCAGCACTGGATACCAGCTTTGGCGATCTGCCATGATCTTGTTGTAGAGCTCCTCAGACTTACTCATGTTGACATGTTGCCAAGAGCTCCATGGTCCGCAAACAGGACTCATCGAGGTGATCATGGGCTCTCCAGTGGCGGCTCCAAGTATCCACGTGGCATACCATGCTCTTGTTCAACTCGTCGCCGCGCTGCATCTTGTAGTGCTCGACGTTGCGCCTCAGAAATACCTGAACCTTCAGAAGGTAATTCAGGGATCTTCGGAAGCCCTTGAGCTGCCTTTGCTGCCCACCGTGCCAAGTTCTGTCGAGCCTCCTCACTGAACTGTGGGTGACCGGGCGCAAAGGAGCGCTCCTTGTACACATCTTGTCACTTGTCATTCTGGACCCTCTCAATTCTCATAGCGGGACAGGTACAGGGTCCAAGTAGCGCATCCTCGCAGCTGGATGTTGCCACTGAACTTCGGGTGGATTCAACTGTGCCACCAACGCTGCATGCTCATCTTGCAGTCGCTGCGGCAAGTGGCCAGGTCGCAAAGACCCGGCCTGGGACCTGGCCTGTGCCTCACGAATCATCTCATCCAACATCTCATCAGCGCTCTTTGAATCCGTCAACTTCAGCACCATGTAGGCAGTGGATGCGGTGGCCTTGTCATCCTCGTACCCATTGACCGTGAAGTACACCGTTCTCGGCTTGTCATTGCCCTTGCTCTGGCCAGACTTGCCGCCCTTGGAGGTGTTGTCCTGGTAGTAGACGATGTAGTTCCCTTGGGTCCTTTGCCTTTGTTGCCACCCTTGCGCACATTCTTGGGGCACAGTGCATCATTGCCCCAATGTCCATATTGTTCATATCGCCTGCATGTAGTCTTAGCCTTTGATGGCCGGCCCGCATTCTTCTCCTCAAGCGTCAGGTTGCCTCTGACCTCATAGCTGCGTCCTTGAGACTAGTGTCCTGTCTCCTGCGCCTTCTGTCGTGCATAGTGCACCTCACTCTCGGCTTGAAGGATGTCGGAGGCATAGTCAATGGCTTCCTGCTCGGTCTCGTCCAGGCCCTCGTCAATATTCGTCAATGATGGCCTGCAGTCTCGCCATAGTAGGCCGTGTCGTCATAGTCATCCTATCCTCCCAATGACTGAGAGGCATTCTCTCACGCTTCATCTCGATCTCCTTCAGCATGATACGACCTCCATGGAGTCTTGCTCTTGTTGTAGCCCTTGCCGGATCCCTTGTAGGAAAACTTGCCTCCTTTGCTGGCCACCATGTGCTCCTCCATGTCGATACCTGGACTCACACTCGTGAATGCGGGAATGCTGCGCTACCAACTCCTCACACACCTTCTTCGATGTAACCTCTCCTCCAATGGCGGTGCGGATCAAGAGCCTGTGATCTTCATGAGCCCAGCGTTCTGCAACAGCTGTTCGGCCACAATGCCGTCGCGCAGTTTCAACTCCGGATCCAAGTCCGTCATCAGCCCGTACCAAGCCTTCCTTCGTAGAACATAGCTCGGAATGCTCTCACCGTGTTGTCGGGATAGAGGTCCTCCTTGCTGAGCTCCTGCTTGATATGGCTCCTGGGCTTCTTGGCGGCTTCGAGGTTGTAGCATCGTCTGCGTGGAATGAAGCAAATAGTCCGGTCCTTCGTCACCAGCGAGCTTCTCGAAAGCCAGACGTGCTGATTCACCGTCGAATCGAGGAACGCCGCTTTTGCCCTCAGTAGATGCTGCTTCGTTGTGCGTCTGCGAAAACGTATGCCGTCGCAGGCTGTCCAACACCGACATGGCTCAGCAATTGGCGAGGTATGGAAAGGTGTAGGGCGATCACCTTTCGAGGGTCTTACCAAAAGGGTTCCCCCGGAGCTTAAATAAGCTCCGCTACCAATGCGGAATTGATAGCCACTATTAGCAAATGAAATGTGCAAGTGCATGCAAGTCCCACATGCTTGTTTTGACACTGCGATGAATGCTGTGCTTGAGCCAACCATCGTGGTCGGCAAAGAAGTTGATTTTGATGCTGCAAAACCTGACATGCCAGTGGATGGACTTAGTCTGCAGGGGTCCATTGAATTTTTTATTTTCACAGTATTCCCTCAAAAGATTTGGTGATCATATCCCGGTGGATCAAAGAACATAATCTAACATACATATGTATGATATACCGCAATAAACACCAGTTATGTACAGTTATATATTTATATATATATACACACCATTAGTACCTGCACGAGGCGGGGCGGAAGGCGCCTTAAGGATATACTATAAGACATTTCTCATCTATAGAATATAGAACTTGCATGCGCCGTGCGCCAGCCAGGCCCGTGCGTGCGTGCTTTGTGCGAAGCTGTTGCGGTGTTGTTGTCCAAGAATGACCTGCGCGGCCCCGGTGCAACGCAACGCCAAGCGAACACTTTCTTCACACTTTACACTGCACGCTTCACACCCCGCACTTCACACTTCACACTTGCACTTCACACTCCACAATTCACCTCATCTCAAGTCATGTGAGCTCTTCTCACCTCATCTCACCTCATCTCACCTCATCTCAGCTCTTCTCATCTCATCCCATCTGTTCGCACATGTCATCTAAGTAAGTTCTTCTCGACTGTTTTAACCTCATCCTAGCACTGATCAGCCATTCTCATCTCCTCGAAGTTTGTCTCAACTCATCTCAGCTGTTCTGCTGCACGCCAGAAAGCTCTTACTGTCACAGAGAAGTCTCTGGCGCAAAAAACCTTGGGAGCAGAAAGATTTTGCACACAGAAGCTTGAGACACAGATGCATTTGCACAGAAAAGCCTTTACATAATACTTTGTACCACAAAGCTTGCACAAAGCACGTGTACTACTTTGTACTACAAAGCTTGCGCAAAGCACTTCCCAGTACTACTTCTTACTACAAAGCTTGCACCAAAAATTCTTCCCAGTACTACTTTGTAGTACAAGGCTTGCACAAAGCACTTCCCAGCACTTCTTTGTACTACGAAGCTTGTGCAAAGTACCATCCAGTACTACTTTGTACTACAAAGCTTGCACAAAGTACGTCCCAGTACCACTTTGTACTACAAAGCTTGCACCAAAAATTGTTCCCAGTACTACCTTGTACTACAAAGCTTGCACAAAGCACGTCTGAGTATTACTTTGTAGTACAAAGCTTGCGAAAGGACTTCCCAGTACTACTTTGTACTGCAAAGCTTGCACAGGCTACTTCCCAGTACTACTTTGTACTACAAGACTGCTTGCACAAAGCACTTCCCAGCACTTCTTTGTACTACGAAGCTTGTGCAAAGTACCATCCAGTACTACTTTGTACTACAAAGCTTGCACAAAGCACGTCCCAGTACTACTTTGTACTACAAAGCTTGCACAAAAAGTACTTCCCAGTACTACTTTGTACTACACGAAGTTTTTACACAGAGAAACGTTTTGGCACATATTGACAACAGAAATTGCAGCTCCATACCCGGATCCCGGCGCCAAAGGGAAAAAACCGATTGTGAAGCACTTTCGAAAAGGATGTTTTCAAGGAAAATCACCAGCGCCAAAATGAAGAGAAAATGCTGACAAATCACTATCGCAGCCTTGATGAAGCCACTCCAATACGATTTACAATGCCCAGCTGCAAAAGACAAAAGTATTACGCATGCAGCCGCGGAACCAAGCAACCTTGACGCAGCCCCACCGCACAAACAAGGTACCCTTCATCGCCGGCTGCAGCCACTTTAAACAGAAAAACACAAGGTTTCGTGCTCCGGCTTTCTCCCCAAGCCATTACAATGCCTTTTGCAGCATCGCGTGGCAAACCTGCATGTATTTACGCATATGACAACACAAGATGACAACAATCATGCAGCCATTCAAATGCGATCTGCAACCACAGATTCAAGAAACGCAAAGAACTACGCACGCATGAGCAACATTGAACAACCAGATATGCAGAACACCAAGGGAGAACCGATTCGACGATGAAACGATTGCAGCCGCAACCGCCGCACACACAAGGTACCTTTCAGTGCCGCCTGCAGCCACTGCACACGGAAAAACACATGGTTTCGTGCTCCGGCTTCCTCCCCAACACAAGCCCCATGCAACATTCTTGCAGCTATTACAATGCCTTTTGCAGCATCGCGAATCGCGTGGCAAACCTGCATGTATCTACGCATATGACAACACAAGATGACAACAATCATGCAGCCATTCAAATGCGATTTGCAACCACAGGTTCAAGAAACGCAAAGAACTACGCACACATGAACAACATTGAACAACCACACGTTGCAGAACACCAAGGGAGAACCGATTCGACGATGAAACGATCGCAGCCGCAACCGCCGCACACACACACAAGGTACCTCTCAGTGCTGCGTGCAGCCACTTAACACGGAAAAACACAAGGTTTGGTGCTCTGGCTTCCTCCCCAACACAGGCCCCATGCAACATTCATGCAGCCATTACAATGCGTTTTGCAGCATCGCGTGGCAAACCTGCATGTATTTACGCATATGACAACACAAGATGACAACAATCATGCAGCCATTCAAATGCGATCTGCAACCACAGATTCAAGAAACGCAAAGAACTACGCACGCATGAGCAACATTGAACAACCAGATATGCAGAACACCAAGGGAGAACCGATTCGACAATGAAACGATTGCAGCCGCAACCGCCGCACACACAAGGTACCTTTCAGTGCTGCCCGCAGCCACTTCACACGGAAAAACACATGGTTTCGTGCTCCGGCTTCCTCCCCAACACAAGTCCCATGCAACATTCTTGCAGCCATACAATGCGTTTTGCAGCATCGCGTGGCAAACCTGCATGTATCAACGCACATGGCAACACCAGGTGACAACAATCATGCAGACATTCCACGGCGATCTGCAACCATGTGATGTAAAGTGGAATGTAAACTCCCACCCCACCCTTCATGAATGTATTGTTATGTCATGTAAAGTCCCACACCAGCCTTCACGAATGTATTCCAATCTGATGTAGTATGTGATGTAAAGTCCCACACCACCCTTCATGAATGTATTGTTATGTAAAGTGAAGTCTCACAGTCGCACACCACCCTTCATGATGTACTGTTATGTGATGTATAGTCTCACACCACCCTTCATGATGTTTTGCTATGTGATGTTAAGTCTCACACCACCCTTCATGATGTATTGTCATGTGATGTAAAGCCTGACACCACCCTTCATGAATGTATTGTTATGTCATGAAAAGTCTCACACCACCCTTCACGAATCTGTTGTTATCTGATGTATAAAGTCTCACATCACCGTTCATGAATGTATTGTTATGTAATGTGAAGTCTCACGGTCTCACACCACCCTTCATGATGTATTGTTATGTGATGTATAGTCTCACACCACCCTTCGTGATGTATTGTTATGTGATGAAAAGGCTCACAATCTCACACCATCCTTCACACCACCCTTCTTGATGTTTTGTTATGTGATGTAAGTCTCACGCCACCCTTCACGAATGTATTGTGATGTGATGTAAAGTCTCACAACACCCTTCATGAATGTTTTGTTACGTAATGCAAAGGCTCACAATCTCACACCATCCTTCACACCACCCTTCTTGATGTATTGTTATGTGATGTATAGTCTCACACCACCCTTCATGATGAATTGTCATGTGATGTAAAGCCTCACACCACCCTTCACGAATGTATTGTGATGTGATGTAAAGTCTCACAACACCCTTCATGAATGTTTTGTTACGTAATGCAAAGGCTCACAATCTCACACCATCCTTCACACCACCCTTCTTGATGTATTGTTATGTGATGTATAGTCTCACACCACCCTTCATGATGAATTGTCATGTGATGTAAAGCCTCACACCACCCTTCACGAATGTATTGTGATGTGATGTAAAGTCTCACAACACCCTTCATGAATGTTTTGTTACGTAATGCAAAGGCTCACAATCTCACACCATCCTTCACACCACCCTTCTTGATGTATTGTTATGTGATGTATAGTCTCACACCACCCTTCATGATGAATTGTCATGTGATGTAAAGCCTCACACCACCCTTCATGAATGTATTGTTATGTCATGAAAAGTCTCACACCACCCTTCACGAATCTGTTGTTATCTGATGTAAAGTCTCACACCACCCTTCATGAATGTTTTGTTGTGTCGTGTCAAGGCTCACACCGTCCTTCACACCACCCTTCACGATGTATTGTTCTGTGATGTAAAGTCTCACACCACCCTTCATGAATGTTTTGTTATTTAATGTAAAGTCATGTAAAGTATCACAATTCTATTTGTCCGTAACTCGGAAGATTGCTTCCCAACTTTCTTTGATAATATCCAGGTAAGTAGACATGATCTTTCATCATGCTTGAATCATTTTGCACTCCTCTCTGCGGCGCAAGAAACGCTGCATCTTGGCTTGGGCTCCAAATACGCAGCCGCTTTTTGGAAGCCAAGAGTCAAGAGAAACTTGAGACGCTCAAGATGTGCGAAGCAAAGTGAGGAAACAGAAAGGGTCACCTTGCCATGCCCGGAATTGATAAGTACAAAAATCACAAAATGGGCGCGGGTTGAAATCAAATAAGCCTGTGAACGTGGGATATGCTGGCTTCCACAGTTTCCGCCAATCTATGTGCCACTGAGTCGGTTCGGCTTTGTTCCCAGAAAGCAGGTAGCCATTGAATCGGAAGCACAGTATTGTGGAACATGCGCAGTGGGGAAGCTCTCTCTGATAAGGACCAAACAGATGAATTGATCTTGGGTGTGCAAGCGGTGCGTGGTCTG